GCTGGTCGTCTGGGTCTTCCCCTCCAGACACCCACCCTGTCCTTCTTTCCTGTTTCAGGGGCCAGTGTCATCAGCACCCGATGCTCCGAGACCTATGAGACCAAGACAGCTCTCCTCAGCCTCTTCGGCATCCCCCTGTGGTACCACTCCCAGTCACCCCGTGTCATTCTTCAGGTAGGCAACAGGGCTCAGGGCACATTGGGACGTGGCCGCTTCTCCAGTCAGCCAAATTAGACTTGGGGCCTCATACTGATTTATCTTCTCTCCACTCCAGCCAGATGTGCACCCTGGTAACTGCTGGGCCTTCCAGGGGCCCCAGGGCTTTGCCGTGGTCCGCCTCTCTGCACGCATCCGCCCCACAGCTGTTACCTTAGAGCATGTACCCAAAGCACTGTCACCCAATAGCACCATCTCCAGTGCCCCCAAGGACTTTGCCATCTTCGTGAGTATCGACCGGTGTGGGGCTGGAAGGGTTGTAGGAGTGTCCTGTGGGTATCTGCCGAGATTCCAGCTGGGGTCACTGGCTGGGAGGCAGGGAGTGGACTTGGAAGAAGTGGAGCCAGGGACGGCACATCAGTCCCAGTTATCTCAGGCTAGAGGAAGAAACCATGCCATGTGCTATTAAGTGATCATCACTGGTTACAGAGAAGTCCTGTGGTAGCCATTTCCAGTGCCCAGACCCTTTGCAGCTCCTGAGGGATCCTGTCTGACCTGCAGAGTGGGAGGGAGTCACACTCTCACTCCCTGCCTCTCCCCTCCATCCTGTCACCCTCTTGCAGGGGTTTGATGAAGATCTGCAGCAAGAGGGGACACTTCTGGGCACGTTCACCTATGACCAGGATGGGGAGCCCATTCAGACCTTCTACTTCCAGGTAGAGACCCATGAACTAGTGGGTGCAGCAGATGTCTTCCTGGCACTTACTCTGCCAGGCATAGGGTTGAGAGAGAGATGCAGTCCCTGTTCTGCCCTCCTCAGATCAGGCAGCAGAAGTGGAGAAGACCAACTTTGTAGATGGCATAGGGGAGGGTCCCCTCTGGAAGGGCACGTCAGGGAAGCTTCCTGAAACGGGGCACTAATGAGGCAAGTTTATGAAAGAAAGATAGGGTTGACAACTGAAGGGCATTCTAGGAGAGCGCAGGGCATGGCCAGCTAGGCTCAGACAGGACCTGTGTCTTAAACTCAAGTGGGCATCAGATCTCCCAGGACCCTTAGGAACAGACTCCAGCCTCCACCCCAGTAGTCTGATTTCTTAGGGCTGATGGGCCCCAGGGACCCGAGTTCAAACACACCATCCAGTGAATTCAAGAAAAGTGAAGAATTAGGTGGGTGAGGGATTGTGAGAGGGGAGAGAGGGGTAAGAGGCAGGAAGAATGGCCTTAGAGAGGCCCTCAGGGCCAGGGGGTGGGTGAGGATGGCATTGCTGTAGGTAACAGTATGATGTGCATTTTTGTTAAGGTCTAAATAGTGACTCCAAGGAAGGCCAGCCTGGAGCCAGGGATCTAATTCAGGAAGTGGTGGTGGGGAACATGCCAGAACTGATCCGGTCTGCACAGGGTGTCGGGGTGAGGATGAGGCAGTGGGAAGGCCCCCGAGCTCACGCTGGGGGAGAATAGGGGGCAGAGGCAGAGCAGGGGACAATTTACAGGTTACCAGCATTAAGGGTCTAGGAGCTGGTACCCAGAGGGGCTAATGCAGAGTGGGGAATGGGTTTGCCTACTGTTTTCCCAGTTGCTGTTGAAGGACTAGATGTGAGATGGTTGTCATCAGTTTGGGGATGATGATGGGGTCTTTGCAGGGGTTGGGTTTCTCAGGGTACGGGAGAGGCCAGGGGAGAGGATGGGCAGAAGGCACCACACCTGTGGCATCAGGCAGGCGAGATATGCTACAAATGCTGCCTCAAACATTGTGGCTTTGAAGCACAAAGGACAGGCTGATGGGCACTTGAGAAGGCCCACACCATCATGCACCAGGGTCCCCACGAGGGGAGCTCTAGCTGCTGATAAAGTGACAAAGCAACTGCAGAAGAACTCGTCCAGCTCTTGACTGAACTGTGCTGTTTCTCAGCACCAAGACCACTTATATGTGGTCTGAGGGCAGGGCTTAGTGCAGCTCACATGGGTCAGTTGATGGCCAGTGTAGAATCTTGGTGTCCCAGAGGGCCCTTGGCCCTTGGGCTGCACTCTGTGCCAGGAGGCTGAAGACAGGCACATAAGAAGCCAGAGACTCAGGGGAGAGGAGGGTCTCTGGTCCTAAGGGTGATCATGTCCCCCACCTATCCTCTGTCAGTGAGGTCTCAACGGACTCTCTGACACCATCAACCCTTCTTCTCTACCCAGGCTACTAAAATGGCCACCTACCAGGTGGTGGAGCTGCGGATCCTTACCAACTGGGGCCATCCCGAGTACACCTGCATCTATCGCTTCCGGGTGCACGGGGAGCCTGCTCACTAGTCCTGTGAAGCTTCTCGTGCCTGCTGCCAGCCATCTGGGAGGCTTGCCCCTCCCACATGCACCCCTACTCTAGGAGTGCGTGTGCAGCACCCCACCTCCAACCCCACAAGCTTGATCAGCGCTCTGACTTCCAGGAGCAAGAAAGAAGAGCCCTGGCCCTGGGGAGATGAGAAAGAATGTGCAGGGTTTTGCCAGGCAGCGGGCAGCCCACGGTGGCCAGCAGGTTCCAGTGCTTCCAGCACCCTTCCTTCTCCAGACTGGGCTGGCACCATGGGGTGTACATAGCATACCAGGGGGGTGGGGAGGCAGGAGGCAGGCCACCACCCAGAGAGCTCCTGGTGGGGGTAAAGCAGGTGGGAAGTGGTGGTGGGCCCCACCTGACGGGGGGAGGAGGTTGCTCAGTATCCAACTGCTGTGCTCTGCCCGAGAGGCTAGTGTCACGGATTGGCCCGCGGGGATCCCAAGGGGCTTCTTTAGAGGCCTGTTTTATCTTAGGTAGAGGTGGGCCATGGGCTTCTTATACCCTGGTGGGGACTGCTCCTGTGCACCTCTTAAGGCTGCTGCCTGTGCCAGCCTGTTGGAGTCCCCTGTGCTGGGGGCAACCATGGCTTTTTCTCTCCTGATGCCAGGGCAAAGCTTGCTCTGCCCCCCATTCCTGCTAGGGCCCGCCTGTGTCCCAGAGCAAGCTTCCCACATTCTCCAGCTGCAGGGGCCTAGGTCTACCTTTGGGGTCATTAGCATTTGGGGTTACCTAGGAGGGAGGGGACAGGAGATCTCCTTGTCCAGTGGTAATGACCGTGACAGTGCCATATGACCCAACAGTGCCATTCAGGGTGTCAGGTGGGAGGAGGGCTGTCTGCAATGAGGAGAGGGGCTTTAGACCCACGGATGGCCCTGCTGTACAATGTATATATTTTTCAAGGTCTGTTTTTTAACTTCAAAGCTAAGGGCTTGATTCCTAGCCCCGTTCTGTGGGGCACTAGGTGGTTCTCCGCAGGGCTTGGTCCTGGCCTGTGGGGAGAGGGCAGGACCTGACTTGGCTCTGAGGCTGAGGTGACGATGAAGTAGTGGCCCCTGCACAGCCCTGCCCCTGCCCCAAGACAACCAAGTCTCGTTCTGCGCTCTCCTGTCACAGATGCTGCACTGTTGGTTTTTAATTTTTTTATCTTCAGATTCTAATTTATGGCTATGCAAAAATAAATAAAAGGATGCCAGGATCAGCAGAGCGTGGCTCTTCTCTGGCTGCYGCACAGGCAGCCGCTCTTGGGGAAATGGGGCAATGAATTCTTAGTCACATCAGTGTCCCCGAAGGCTTACTCCTGAAATCTGGAAACCCAGGGCATTTGGTCAAAACCCAGTTGTGACGGGGTTGGGACACAAGGCAAGATCCTCTCCAGTGTTTTTGGGCTCAAGGGCTGTCAGGAGAAAAAAAAAATGGCTTCAGGAGCCGTCATGCAGAAGAGGCCTTTCCTGTCTATCCCGCTGGGATAGGCTCCTGCTGCTTCACCTCTAGGGTGTCAGTAGGCAGGTGGACCCATCTACAAAGTGGTCATCTAGCCATCTCCATCCACATGCCATCCTAGGACCTTGCTCCTGGTAAAGATCCCACAAATACCTGCTCAAGTACAGAAGGGTCAGGCCACTGATTTGAGATCAATGGATCAACAACTTTATTCTTCATCAACTACAAATGGGCTGGTGTTCTGTTCCAAAGGGACACATGGGAAGGCTAAGACCTGAAGAGACCTGTTAATGACAGTAAACACTGAATTCAGTTAACTCCCTGCTGGCAGGTGTGGGACTGGGGACCAGAGCCACCCTCCCAAGTGAAGGCAGGGGCCAGGGTCATAGCTAGAGCTCCTGAGCACACAGAATGGCTTTGGCATCCACAACTGCTTATAGGGGCAAAGAGGTTAAAAAAAGAGTTTGGCCATGGCTAGAGCCCCTGCCCTGCCCGGCCCACCCCAGAGCCTCATCAAGAAGGCACCAGGCCAGAGCCAGCAAAGCTGATGGGAAACAGCAACACACAGAGATGGCAAGAGCCCAAGGACAAGCCAGGCAGCCAGTGGGGAGAGCCGCAGGGCAGTTGCTGGTGCAGGCCGTACTCAACATCCACCGTGCTCACCCCCACCAGCTTGTTTCCTCAACTAGGAAACCAGAGCTAACAATGCCTACCTCAGAGACGGTAGCCATGTATGTCCACGGCCATGTGCATGTGAACYCACCTGGCAGTCCTGGCCACTCAGCAGACACCCCAGTGCCATGCTTCTCTCTAGCTGCCCAAGGTGCCGGGCCTCACGCATGCACTCAACCCACAGCCCCTGATGCAAGATCTGCTGCTTGCAGATGACGAAACAAAACAAGGGTAGAAACGTCCCGTGTGACAGAGTTGGCTAAGGAGCCTCACCTGCCTGGAGGGAAGCAGGGTTCTTGGTGGCCAGCCCTGCTGGGCTGCCACCAGGCACTGAGGAGCAGGCAGATCCACAGTGTCCCTGTGGCAGCATCTCCACACAAGGGCCAGACAGGGAACAGGACACTGTCAAGTTGGAACAAACTTTTATTGTGAATGCTGGTCTGGTCAGTCCAGGGCCACGGGGCAGTGGTAACTAGAAACAGCTAGGAGGGAGGAAAGGACAGGAGAGGGCTGGGGACAGGAAAGAGGCAAGGCTGAAGGACCTAGCCCACCGGGTGTCTGCCCTGGMTAGAAAAGACCCCTTGTCCCTCTTACCCTAAATGAAGGGCTATAGAACAGCTCAGTCCTGGCAGGACGGGGCCATGTCACTGTCTGGTCTGGGCAGCCTTACTTCCCAATGCTTCATAAGGGCTAAATGCTCTGTGCTGGGCCTGACAGTCCTTCTCACTGCCCCACACGCCCTCCCTGTGCCCTAACTGGGGTTCAAACCCTGGGGCTCAAGCCCTTCACTGCTGTGCTCCAGGAGCTGCCCTGCTGGGTAGACACGGCCGGCGGGAAGGGGGAGTTCCAGTCCTAGTCCCACTTACAGCAATGCCCCTTTCCCCAACAACAGGCGGCGCTAGAAAATAGGATCCTGAGCAGGTCCAGACCCAGCCTTGTACCAGTGCCCAAAGGCCAAAGTCCAAGCAGGAGGTGGCTCGTGGGCAAGAGACCCTCCAGACTGGGCAGACTGGCAAAAGCCAGGAACAGCAGGGCCAGCCCAGGCAAGCACAGGATTGTCTCCAAGGGGAAGCCACCAGGTCTTTGGATCCACGGCAAGGGCCAGAGTTAGGGGAGAGTCCTACAGTCCAGTCGCCATTCCTTCCACACGTCACAGGTATGACTGAAGAGTTTTTGTCATTACCTGTTTGAGGGCTTAAGGGGAAAAAGACGGACAGAAAAGGGAAACCACTACTTTCTCCCTGTTAAAATCCCCAGGATTGAGGATGCCCTGCTCTGGCAATGGAAGACACCAAATCCCAGAAGCCCCTGCCCTGAGGTCAGTCTGGTGGAGAGGCTGCCAGTGCCCAGAGGAGCAGTGAGCTGAGGCTGCGGTGGCTCCGTGGCTCCTGCCATCCCCTAAAGGCTCTGAGGCTCTCACCAAGACAGACACGTGGATGGAGGGACAGATGGTTAGTCGGGCAGCCAGCTCCTGGAGGCTGGTGGCCAGCCACGGAGGAGAAAAGGGGAGAGACTGACAGGGCCCTGGTGGGCCTCACTCCTGCAAAACACACACACGCACACTCACACACACACACACACACACACACACACAATCACTGAGAGATATAATAAAAAGAATAAAAACTAAGGGCCAGATGTACAAAAGACGCATGAGTGAGGAAGGAGGCAGGGAGGGGCAGGAGACGGTCAGTCCTCGGGAAGCCTGGCCGCCTTCCTCAGCTTATAAATTACAACCCCCTGGAAAACAGGGGTGGGCAGCGAGGAGGCTCTGGCTGGGGCCTGGGGTGGGCGGGTGGCGATCAGAGCTGCTGTGCCCAGCTGGTGAGCAGTGGCCAGAGAGTGAGAATCCCTGGGTGGTAGGAATGAGCCAGGGAAGATTCAACAGCCGCTGGCAGGAGTCACACAGGCCCCCTGGGACTTCACCTTGTGGCGCTGGCCCCCTCGTCGCCGACCCCCACTGCCGGGCTTGGGCTGAAAGAGAGAAGAAGAATTTGAGAAGCACTGGTCCCTCAGGAACAGGGCAGCAGAGGGGCAGTGGGCAGGCCAGGGAGCCTAGCCCCAGCCTAGCCAGGAGTTTATGAGGTGACCATGCACAGGACCTCCTGTCTGTAAAATGGAGCTATTTAGAGAAACAGTCAAACACGAGTGGACATTTACCACTGCTGAGGTGGTGACAGGTGGACAGGGACAGAAAGGAAGGAATAAGAGAGGCTCAATGAGGAGCGGGGAGTGTGAAAGCATGGGGGGCACACAGAACCAGGAGAAGCCTCCTCTGCCGGTCAGAGGAGAAAGACACTAGAGAGGTGCACAAGGGTGCCCGTCCTGGCGGCACACACAGCTTCTGAAGAGGCAGCCACAAGCAGGTGCCAGCACCTGCTACACAGAACATCCAAGGCCACCTCCCCTCACTCTGGCAAGGGACAAAGGAGGACCTCTAAGGCAGCATTCCTCAAACTTGCTGGACTGCTGTACACACACATCACCCACACAAGTAATATTCACTCTTACAATGAACCTAAACCCTGCCYCCGGTCCACTCTATTTCATTAAAACCAAATGCTAGTCAGAACCAATTAAATTGGCTTTCTGTGGGCCAGCCATGTCTCTCAGTTTGGAAAACAACTTTGATGTTACCCACATGCCAGGAGCTGTGGAAGTGCTCCTCTCCGTGCATGGGCTCTCCTGTGGTCCCCCTCTACCCAATCAGCCACACCCTCTCCTGCCACCCTGCCCAAGGCCACAAGAGGCCCGCTCACCTGTGGCTGGAGACTGCTGGCTGCGGCTGGCTGCCCCGTGGCTAGAGAGGAAGCCTCATCTCCAGGCAGGGCTGCCCCTACTGCCGGCCCACCAGATGGGCCCCCTTCTTCTCGTTTGGTCAGAGGTCCTTTTTTTGTTGACTGCATTTTAATCTGCTGGGGCTTGGAGTTCATTGGCGAGTTGTTGGTGGTCTGGAGGAGCTGTGAGAGACGTGGGAATGAGGGTGAGGCCAGAGCTGAAGGGCAGCATAAGTTTAGCAGCCTGCCCCATGTCCCTGTCCCTGCTCCATTCTAAGGGACTTCTCATGGCTTGGCTAGCTTGGCTGGTCCCAAACAAGGCAGATGATAGAAGGACCACGCCAGGAGGTGGAGTCGACAGATCTTCCCATCCTTATTCTACTACAGACTACTATGACCTCAGGACTGTCACGTCATCTCCTGCCTCTGTGCACCCAGAAAGCTCCCAGTCCAGCTGTCATTCCTGCAGAGAACTTCCTGAACCTCTTTGCCACCTTGTACTCAATCAGCTCCTTGGCTGGAATCTAGCCTGGTCAGTCTGCTCTGGGCCAAGTTTTAACTTCAAGCCTCCCAAAGAGGCCAAGTGGATTCCTTATCAGCTGGAAATATTTGCAGCGTATCAGAAATCGTAAAAGCTACCACCCTGACACAGAAGCTTCCCCTGTGGCCAAGTTCAATCTCAAAAATAGCAGGGAAGAAGCCTACTAAGTCCCAGAGAGTACTACGTGTATGCTGTAGTCTCTGCCAAACTCTCAGATAGCCCCAGAGGCAAGCAGGCCTTTAAGGAAAAGAAGCCCCAAAGTCCCCATGGAGGGCCTGAGGAAGGCCATTTGGGAGGAAGGGCTAGTCTGTGGCTGATTCCAAGATCTTGGATTTGTGGAGACCACTTCTTCCTCTGAATAAACAGGGGTCAAACTCTTCATCAAATGTCCATGGCCATGGGTAAGGTCTGCAGAGGGCAAAAGGTGGGCTCTGAGACACACGAACAGCTCCTGCCCCAAGGGACTGCACACCCATGTACCCTGAGCTGTTCAGCACTCACTCCAATAGGACTTGCTGCCCTTGTCCCTCATGTATAGCCCCAACCAGGCCAAGAGATACTCTGCCCACTGCTGCCCACAGGAGAACATCATGCCCCAAGGCCAGCTCCTCTTCTCCAATGTCATCACCAAAGCCTGRGATGGGAAGCCAGGGACACCTCCTATGGGAGCAAGAACCCTGGGCACCCCCAGGGTTCTTAAAAGGATCTTGTGGGGGCTGGGGCTGTGAATCAGCTGTAGAACGCTCACCTAGTACGTGCGAGGCCCTGGGTTTGATCCTCAGCACCATATAAAAATAAATAAGTAAAAACAAAAGTATTGTGTCCAAAAAAAAAAAAAAGGATCTTGTGGTGCTCATGATCACTAAGCTGGAGTGGCAGGCCAGGTCTGCCTCAGGCGTACCTTGGTGATGGTGCCCACGGCCTTGGTACGGCCTTCCCGGAACACCAGCCGCTGGTCTATGTGTAGGTACTCAGGAGTCTTAATGAAGCGGAAGTGGACAGTGGCTTTGTCCCCAGTGCGCAGGCAGTCCTTGTCCATGCTCAGTATGGTGGCTGTCTGCCTGATGCTCCCACAGTGCACTGCCAAGGGAGCCAGGAGGTCAGGACAGGTTGGAGGCACCCTGGGGCCTCAGGACAGGGAGGCAGTAAGCAAGGCATGAGACACACCTGAGTTCAGCATGCAGGGTGGGGCTGAGTCAAGGGCATCGGATGCCTGGAAGCTGAGTGCACCAGGGCAGGCTGGAGGTCAACTCCGCTTCCCTCACCCACACTCTTCTCACCTTCCCTGTGGTTAGACCACCTGCCCCACCTAGGCCCGCACAGCCAGGGGCCCCAAGCTCCTGGGATTCTACGACTGTGAGCGCCTGGAGGGATGGGCCCTCGCTGGTGCCTCTGTGGTCCTAGCACCTCAGCAACACCACTGGGCACAGGAGCAGCACTCAGCAGTCATGCATTTAGGGAGGAACATAAGGTCCTCACAGACAGGTCTGGAAGCCCCCAAGTCCAAATGGAGGGGACTTCAGTGAGCCTCTGCAGAACCTGATAAATGAGGTAGGTGGCTCAAAGGTAGGACTAAGGGAATGGCTTCTTAGGACAGAATGGAAACCTGTCAGAGCTGGAATAATGGGGCCTGGGTCAGCAGAACACCCCTTGTGGGGAGCTGGAGTGGGGCCTCCGAGGCTGGCAGAGCATTAGACACCTACCCATGGCCTGGTAGCGTGGGCTAATCGTAGTAGGATGGTGGAGTACAAGAATCTCGGCCTCAAATTCCCAGGAGGCTTGGGGATTCAAGCGTGGGGAAACCATCACCATGCCCTTCCGGATGGATGAGCGCTTGATCTGAAAGAAAGGAAGAACCGCAGATCTTAGGGATGATGGGGGCTTAGGTTCTAGTCCCCAGTCTTAGAGAATCAGGAGTCTAAGTATAGAATCACCCACCCAGCCCTGCCCATCATCACCTTCTGGGGGGACAGCACATATTACTGCCATATGGGAAGCTAAGCATCGTTCTGTCGGGTCAAGAAAGGCTCCAGAGATTTCAGTTAGCGGCCTGGGAGGAAGGCGAGGAGAAAGGGCAGGCGAGCACTTAGGTGAAAGGAAGAGAGTGAGCATGACTTGACCACTGGAGAGAAAAGGCAAAGGGCCAATCTTTCTGGTTAATTTGATTGGTGGGAAAAGTAGGTGACCCCAGAGCTGGCAGGCACTCCAAATCCCAGGAGTCAGAACACCAAAGGGGAAGAGGTTCTGGCCTAGGGACGCTCCTGTCTGACTGCATCATTAGCTTGCGGCACCTGCTCAGGCACCAGGAGGACCAAGAGGCAGGCAGACCTGGGATCAAGTCCTGGTTCTGGATTTTACTGGTTTTGTGTCTTGGGCAAGTCATTGGAGTCTGAGCCTCAGTTTCTTCATCTATGAAAATAAGGTTGGTAATCCCCACCTTGCAGAGCAGACAGAGGACCAGAAATGGAAGGTAAGCACCTGGCTTATCTGTGACACAGCCCATGGGGAGATTTTGGAACTACCCACACTCACCTTCTTCAGTGCAAAGGAGGCTGTCTGGCCCCCCCGCACCTCCTTGACAGGCATGCGCTTGCGATGAATCGACTTGACCGCAATGGAGAGGAAGTTGCCCAGGGGATCTGGGCCCAGCAACAGCGTGTCATTCAGCTTAATCAGACCCCTCAGTGTTGTCCCTGACACCACTGTCCCCACACCCTGCCAAGGAAAGACCCAGCTTAGTGAGTTCATCCCCATCAAACCATTCCCTGATGCCCCTGGAGGAAATGCCCACCAGCCACCCTCCTGCCCAGTCCACCTGAGGCCGCTCACCGGAACAGAGTATGTGTCATCAATCTGGAACTCAGCAGGCTCCTCCTCCCTGTAGCTGGTTCGAGGGGACAGGAGGTTGAGGAACATCTTCAGGAGATCCAGGTTCTCACCTGTAACGTTGGAGATCTGGAATATCGGGCACATCCTAAGTGTACGGAGAGGAGAAGAAAGAAGGGACAAAGAGCTCAGGTGGCAGCTCCTGCCTTGCCGACTAATGGCCACCTCTGCCTCATCTGCCTCCAGAGGCTCAACCCTTCTACCCTCAGTCTAGTAACTCCTAGCCCCTGCTGCCCCAAGGCCTTTTCTGGTTTATTTTGTCTCTGAAACCTATCCCCTCCTGCCCACTGCTGGCCCATGTTGGAACCTCACACCTGCCTCTTCTTCCTCCAGCATATGTGCTTGCTTAAAATCCCTAACCCTCATCAGGGGACACAGCCAAGCACCTTCTCCCAGCACTCACAGCCCTTCATGCTCAGGCTTGTTGCCACCTCTGCAGATTCACTTCACCCAGGATCCTATATTACAGCCAGACCATAGGACCATCCCTTCTTCTAAAGCTGGCTGCTTCCTGGTCCCACAGATGTGCTCACTCTGACCCTCCTTCCCGAGTTCCTGCCCTCTTATCAATTTACCAGACTCTTCACATCCTCCAGAGTTCATTTCAAATACCACTTCCTCCTTGTAACCCTTCCTGGACAGACACTCTTCAACTTCCCGAGGCTCTGAGAGAGCTTTTGGTGTCTGTCATTCATGATGACATCTGATTTCCCATCGTAGTCATCTAAATGGCTGCTATCTCCTATTCAGGGAAAATTAAGCTCCCTGAGATCATAAATTACATATTCCCCAAAGCTCCTGCAATAGTGTCTACACAGACTAGAAAAAAACAAAATGAATGGGGTGGAGCTGGGTTCCCTGAAACGTGCCCCCTCTACTGGCCAACTGGTGACACTGAAGACAGCACCAGGCTGGAGGAAAAGGAAAAAACCCGGGCTGCTCAAGGTCCTTTATATACACCAAGCCAGGAGACAGACAGCTCCCAAGAAGGCCCAAGGCTCTGGACTGAGTTAACCAAGTTCACTGTTACCAAGAAAGTATCTCCAACCAAGAAGCTGAACGCCTTGAGGATCACGCTCAACCATCTCTGAATCCTTAATGTCTGGATGAAGAGCCTGAGAACAAACATCTAATAAATAGGGTTTTGTTTTTTTGCCCTGTGGCACTGGGGATCAAATCCAAGGGGCCCCGTACCATTGAGCTATGTCCCCAGCCCTTTTTTTATTTTGAACAGATTCTTACTAAGCTGCTTAAGACCCACCTACCTCAGCTTCCCGAGTAGATGGGATTAAAGGCATGTGTACCACTGTGCCTGGCTCCAAAAAATATTTATGGAATGAAAGGATACATTAAGGAGGAATTGCCAAAAACCAATCTGTGATTAGAAAGCTTTTGAGAAACAGTATAAAAAAGAAAGCTGGGCATGGTGGGCAGGCGTAATCCCAACTCCTCAGGATGCTGAGGCAGGAGGCTAACAAATTCAAGGCCAGCCTGGGCAACTTATTGAGAACCTGTCTCAAAATAAAATTTTTTAAAAAAGAGCTGGAACACTGGAGGCAGTGGCGTATGCCTGTAATCCCAGTGGCTCAGGAAGCTGAGATAAGATTGTAAGTTCAAAGCCAGCCTTAGCAAAAAGCGAGGCACTAGGCAACTCAGTGAGACCCTGTCTGTAAGTAAATTATAAAATAGGGCTGAGGATGTGGCTCAGTGGTCGAGTGCCCCTTAGTTCAGCCCCTGGTACCCCACATCAAAAGGGGAGGGCTGGAGCTGTAATTCTAGAGACTTGGGAGGCTAAGGCAGGAGGATCACAAGTTTGAGGCTAGCTGTGGCAATCTGGTAAGATCCCATCTCAAATAAAAAATAAAAGGGGTAGGATATAGCTCAGAGGTAGAGTAACACTGGGTCTAATCCCCAGTATTGCAAAAATAAATAAATAATCAAAAAATAAGATACAAAACAATCATAAAAATGGTTGTATATCTATCATACACCAAGCCAGACCCAGAGCTAAGTGCCTTACATGTACATCACTTCCAACACTCAAAAGAGTTCTGTGAGGAAGCTAATATTGTTCCCATTTCACAGCTAAGAACAATGAAGTCTCAGCTGGGATTTCAACCTAATTGAGGCCAACATTTCAGAATCTGAGCCACACTGGCCATGGGAGCTATACAGCAACCTTCTGTTTCCTCCCATCTCTGAATAACAAGTGTCCATGAGACCTTATGCCTGGACAGACTGCCATTTCAGGCCTGCTGCTCCCCATGGCCCTGCAGACACACACACTCCCCACCCATTACCTCTCAGAGCTGAAGTTGGAGGCAGTAACAATCACGTCATCCTTGCTCTGCACTAGCACAGGGATCTTCCGGCAGCCTGGTGACTTCAGCAGGCGCTGCAATAGCTTCAGGGTTTCTTAAAGAATAAAATGGAACAAAATTAAGGGATATACCCATCTCTTTGGCCAGGCTTCCAGGGCAGAAAGGTCCATCATTACTGATGCAAGGAGACAGACAGACAGATGAACCAGTGTTAAGTGCCACATGCCTGAAGATGCAAAAAGAAGGATCAAAACTTTGGGTGGGTACATTTTTACTTAAGTAGAAAGGGCACAGATGGAGTCTCTTCTAGACTGAGTCTAAAACCTGGCAGATTTCTCCAGTCTCTTAGAAGATCCACATCCCACAGACAAGTGATTCAGGAAACCCCAAGAAAGACAATGTTCTCCCCAGAATGTTCTGCTTCCTAGATAAAAATCTCATCTGACCAAAGGATCTCCTGGTCATTCAGAATTCTGCAGAGACCATTATTAAGAGGCTTTCTAACAAGACAGAGTCTACTTATCTTTCTAAATTTGTATGTGAGGAAAAGGTGCACAGAGAACTCGTCCTGCAAACCTGGTTGGACACTTTGACGGTAAAAAGCCACCAGGCCCTCTGTTCAGATTCCTCCATATATATTCAGCACTGATGGCAGAGCCCAATACCTGCTGCCAAGGGTCTTATGAAAAAAGGAGCCAGATTAGGGACCTTAAGAATTTGGGGCTGGGGATTTAGCTTAGTTGGTAGAGTGCTGGCCTCGCATGCACAAGGCCATGGGTTCAATCCCCAGCACCACACACACACACACACAAAAAGAATTCTGCAACTGGAACCAAAAGTGACAAAGAGAGGAAAAATCTAGGCTGTGCTCAGATCAAGAGCTAAATAGAGGAGGAATAAGCAAAAGGTTCTGGGCTGACAGAAATTCAGGTTAAGGTCTGAGCACAATATAAGGAAACAGAAGATTCTGGGCTGAAGTCCTGGTAGCAGAGGTACAGTTGGTGAGAGGCTACCACCAGCTGGAGGAGACTTCACTTACCTTGTAGGATGTTGGCAGGACACATGTCAATTTTGGTGACTACCACAAAGACGGGTACATTGAGTGCCAATGCCAAGCCCAGATGCTCCTTGGTCATTCCCACAATGCCAGCATTGCTGCCCACCTGCCCCAACGCAGAAAGAAACTGTCAGGACAAGGAAGGCAGAAGATGCCCTGGGTGGGCACGGGGGCTCAAAGAAGGCTATCAGTCCTCAAATTGGATCTGGCTTAACATCTCCAGCCCTCTGTTTTTCTTGGTTACAGTAACAGTAGATTACCCATACTTTTATAAGTTATATGCTCAAGTATTTGGGGTAAAGAGTCACTGTCTTCAAGATACTTTCAAATGATTAAGTCAAAAAAGGAAAAAAAAAAATACATGTACCCATATGTATCTATCACATTAATTATTACTGAATCTAAATGATGGGTTTATAATATTCATTTTACAGCTCTTTCAACTTTGCTCAATGTTTGAAATTAGAGGGAGAGAATATATACATATTTGCAGATATAAATATAAAGTGTCTCTGGCAAGTTCACAAAAGAACTAGAAACACTGGTTGCTTCTGGTAGGAAAGTGGAGAGAGGAGGAAGAGACTCCTCCCATCCCCTCACAGCCTCAAACATACTGGGCAAGCACTCTGCCACTGAGCTGCACCTCCAGCCTGGAGACTTGTCACCATAAGCATTTTGGTGCCCTTAACTTTTGTACCACATGAACGTATTACTCACTGAAACAAAATTAGGAGAGCAGCTGCCATGATGTGTCTGCTTGGTGCTTTGCACACTCCCAGGTGTCCTCTCTACCAGGCCCTGGTAAAATACCCCTACTTGAGGGGACGTCGCCACCCACTGCTGCACAGGGCCCGACTGTTCCTTTCCCCTTTATCAGGACACTTCCAAGTCTTCTTCCTGATTGTTCCATCCCCTTTGCAATCCAACTCAGACTTTGTTCTTCTCAAGCTGGATTAGGAAGTATTCTATCACTCTATTATTGATATATTTTAAGTGTTTTTCTTTCCCCTAAGAAACCATTGCCATTGAACCGTTATAAAGTATTTCACTGTTCTCTATAGAAGTTTTAATATTTGAAACATGGCCTAAAAGCCAGACATGAACATTCCATCTGGGGTGAAAATAACTCCATCCACTGTCTTTCTGTAGCTTAGTTAGAAAAGCTTATTTTTATTTTATGAAGAATTAAAAGAGGAAGTTGAAGTCTCCAAAGAAATGATGAGGGCTGGGGATACAGCTCAGGGGTGGAATGTTTGCCTCACCTCTGCAAAGCCCTGCATTTAATCCTTAGCACCACAAAAGAGGAGGAGGAAATGGTAAGGAGAAGGAAATGCTAATTACCTGATTTTATGGGTACACATTTTACACATGTATTGAAATAACCATACTACGACGGGCATGGTGGCGTACGCCTATAATCCCAGCAGCTCAAGAGGCTGAGACAGGAGAATCACAAGTTCAAAGCCAGCCTCAGCAACAGCGAGGTACTAAGCAACTCAGTGAGTCCCTGTCTCTAAATAAAAATAGAGCTGGGGATGTGGCTCAGTGGTCAAGTATCCCTGAGTTCAATCTCTGATACCTGCCCCCCTATAAAAAGAAACACCACACTACTATACCTCCATAAATTTGTACAATTATTACATAGTCATCAAAAATTTTAAAAAGAGGGGCTAGGGGGCTGGGGATGTGGCTTAAGCGGTAGCGCGCTCCCCTGGCATGCGTGCGGCCTGGGTTTGATCCTCAGCAGCACATACAAACAAAGATGTTGTGTCCACTGAAAACTAAAAAATAAATATTAAAATTCTCTCTCTCTCTCAAAAAAAAAAAAAGGGGGGGCTAGGGTTGTGGCTCAGTGGTAAAGCTCTTGCCTAGCATGTGTGAGGCACTGGGTTCGATTCTCAGCACCACATATAAATAAGTAAAGGTCCATCAACAACTAATAGAATTTTTTTTAAGAGAGAGAGAGAGAATTTTTTAATATTTATTTTTTAGTTTTCGGTGGACACAACATCTTTATTTTTATGTGGTGCTGAGGATCAAACCCAGTGTCCCCTGCAGGCCAGGCGAGCGGGCTACTGCTTGAGCCACATCCCCAGCCCCTAATAGAATATATATATATATTTTTAAAAAAAGCTATTTTTTTTTTTTAGAGAGAGTGAGGGGAGAGAGAGAGAGAGAGAGAGAGAGAGAGAGAGAGAGAGAGAKRGAGAGAATTTTTAATATTTATTTTTTAGTTCTCGGCRGACACAACATCTTTGTTGGTATGTGGTGCTGAGGATCGAACCCGGGCCGCACGCATGCCAGGCGAGCGCGCTACCGCTTGAGCCACATCCCCAGCCCAAAAAAAGCTATTTTTAAAAAATTTTTAAACAAAAACAAAAATGTGGTTTTTTTTGTGGTGCTAGACATCAAACCCAGGGTCTTGCACTTACCTCTGAGTAACATCCCAGTCCTAGTAATTTTTTTTTTTTTTTTTGTGTGTGTGTGTGTGTGAGGGTAGGCATTGAACCTAGGGGTGCTCTATACCCCAAGCCCTTTCTATTTTTTGAGTCAAGGTCTTGCTATGTGGCCCCGCTGGCCTTGAGAATTTGCAATCCTCCCTCAAACTCCTGTGTAGCTGGGATTACAGGCATTCACCACCATGCCTGGCTCCAATGCTTATTCTAAACTGGTTTTTATACACGCCTTAATAGCAGCTGCCTCAAATATGCTCTATGGATCTTCCACTGGGATCTCTTCCTCTAGCAGCTTTTCTTACCCAGTCAAGACAGTTGGTGATGGTCCTTTGCAATGTTCAAAGAAATGAGAGATGAAATCACGTTGAGATCCCAAGAACCTCAGGCACAGAGCCGACTAGTGTTCACACAACATGCTCCACCTCTCTACTCCTCTCCAGTTTGTGGAGTTGGCCTGAGAACCTGTGTTTGTGGGGCAACTTGAGCAAGCTTGCCAGGAGCAGATGCTTGTGTTTACCACACTTATTAACACACACAGCTGAGGAACTGGGAATGGGGAAGGACTCTGGAAGGACTTGCCAAAGGGAACCTTGCTCGCTCATGTGCTCACACGCATTCCTCCCACTCCCTCTGTGAAGACCAAAGCTGTGCACAGGTTGCAGTCCTCAGCACCTCCACCCCATCCAGGGAGGAAGCTCAGGAGTCATACACACAGCACAGTGATAAGATTCAACTTGGGGCCCTCTTCTCCCTCTCCTTTTCAGTGAATCTACATAATGAGTTGCTCAAAAATCAATCATGCCACACTAAGCTATCTGGGAGCCCAGGATAGCCTGTCACTGGGCGGCGGGCACAGTGTCAGGCACACACTCCTCCCTTCTAGGCTCTCCCGGCTGCTGCTCTGCCTCCTCATGTGAGGCACTCCCCTCTACCCTGCCTAAGCCTCCCCTCTCTGAGGGAGCCACCCGGAACACCTACTCAAAGTATCCCATGCTCTGAAGAAAACATTACTGAAGGCAATCAAGAAAGCTCAGGAGACCCCTAGGCCCCTCTAAAAAATAAGAGACATCAAATGACACCATTTCTTAACAAGAAGATCCCTCCTGATCTAACATAGAGGAGATCAAGGTCCACCCCTTGAGAAGACTATAGAGCTTGCCAAACTTACCAACCTTACCCAGCATCAGAGCCCCAAATCAACAGGCCTTCTAAATTCTTGCACATGACCCCCAGCACCCCAGAAGCCCCTCCTGAGCACATCACACTTACCATGAGCATGCAGAAGTCAGGCAAGTGGCCAGTCATGCCAAACACAGTGGTCTTCAGGTACTTCTCATGGCCAGCCAAGTCAATGAAGGTGATCACCTTAGTGGATTTCTCACAGATCTTTGTCCACTCCAGGCTGCCACCGTGGCTGTCAGGCTTGTTCACCACATTGCCTTCACTGTCAAAACCCAGAATGTCATTGCCCACACTGCTGGTGCGACCAGATTCAATCTCATGTTTGTGGCGGAAAAGCTTCTGGCGGGCAAAGCCACGGCCATTGTCCAGTTCCCCATGTGTCAGGACCCCCAGGAGCGTGCTTTTACCGGCATCCACGTTGCCCACGACTGCTACCCTGTGTACACAAACCCACACAGCATGTGAGAATCAGTGAAGAGAAAACTCAGAGCCCAGAAACTTGATCCCTGAGACCAGACTTGCCCCATGCCCCTTGGGCTCAGAGCTTTTCCTGTTCCTGGATAGGCATGAGCTATATTCAGGGAGTAGAAAGTTGCCAGAAGGTCCTGGGCTCCCTCAACAGCTATTTCCCCAAACTTCTACCACTGGGAAGAGCCCCAAAGCTACCAGAGGCACAAAATGCTCTCCTGCAACTTGGGCTTCTAGCATCTCAGACTGACGGAGCAGCTACAGGAGGCATGGCTGGGCCCCGCCCACTCTCCCCATATGGAAATATTTAGGGATGGGAAGTACAGAAATCAGGTAGAGCTCTCATGACCCTGGGCATTCTTTCCTTGCCTCAGGAAAGGACAGGAGGGAATGGGCAGAGCCAACACATCAAGTGTCCCAGGCTCCATCACTGTTCTCTGCAAAGTCCTAGCCCCCAAGGTCTTGCAGGGTGGACCTCTGCACTGTATTGAGGCCTCCTCACCTGACCTCCAGGAAGTCATTGTCTCCTACTCGTTTTCGGACCAGATAATCACGCACACGGCCACCAGCTTCCTGACGCTCCCGCAGGAGGATGACATCAGCTTCTATCTGTTCCGCCATGCTCTTCACAGTGGCGTAGGAGGCCTCCATGTCAGCTTCACTCAGCCCATACTCAGACCCATCTGGAGACAAGAGCCCAGACATCAGCAGGAGAGGGAGTCCTGACCAAGCAGCCTGCTAACCAGCTAGCCAGTCTAGCACACCTAACAAAGGCCCCGCCAGGCACTGGGAGGACACGTACCCTACCCCAGAGAAAACTCAGGCACACAAAGAGTTAAGGTGTGACAGTGCCCAGGGCTCTCCCACCAAGCAGAGCAGTAGGTAACTCATTCAAGACAATCACTGAGACTCTCCTAGGATTTATGCCAAGCCTCCTGCTGGGTGCTGGGAATACATGTGCCCTTAGTGAGCTCACAGGCCTGTAGGAGAAACAGACAGGAAATTAATTAATGGCAAGATACTTCAGTGCTGTGCTGAAGAGCTGGACAGAGGGAAGTCAAGCCTAGCCTAGGAAGCAGAGGGCAGCTCTGCAGGTGCCAACCCCAAGCTGGGTCTCCAAGGCTGGGAAATGAGCCCACACAGAAAAGAGGAAGGATGTTCTACCAGAGGAACAAAGCATGGAGCATGGTATGTCATGGTACACTCAGGGACCAGGAAGTTGCTACATGTTAGGGAACAGGACAGGGACACAGGATGGCAGAACACATGAGAGGAAGAAGCTGATACAGCAGACGTCCACAAAATAACTTTTGTACGAGATCACAGGGAACCTGGGGGTCAGGCAGGGGAGTAACATGATCAGATCAAGGTAGGTTAGAAGATCTCCTGGGCAGCAAGTGAGGGTCCAGAAAGGGGAGCATAGTAAGGAAGAAATTCTAACAATCAAGGCAAGTGATGAGGACAGGAAGATGGGGAAACAGGAGAGATTTGGGGATCGCTGTAGATATAGATTTTTAACTGAGCTAATGTGTGGCAAACAGCTGGAACAGACAGGGGAGGGAGAGGAAGGGAGGCAGATAGCAGGGATTGGCCAAATCAACCACTTGTCACTGAGCACCTATGTGACAACAGCTGTAGTTGATTTTAATTCCCACCATCGCTGCCTCAGTTGGTCAGGAGGGAGGGCAGAGCCAACACATCAAGTGTTGCATGGCTGAGAACCCTCCAGTAGGGCAGCTTCTCTTTCACCACTGAAAAAAACCCTTGCTGCACCAAGCATGCTCCTGTCTCCTTCCCTTCTCCACCCTGTGCCCTTGTCCCCTACAAACTAGCTTCTGACCCCTAAACTAAGAAAAGGAAAATCACCCGTTTCCCTTACMCTTGTCCATCTCCTGTTCTTCCTTTGACCACCAAACAGCTGAAAATAGTAGTCAACCCTTGCAGACTGTCCCCACTTTCTCTGAATCAACCCTTCCTGAAGAACTGCAGTTTTCAAATGTCTTCAATGGCTTTCCAGCTCTTCAATACCCCATGCCCTTCTCTTGACACCTAGAGCACTCACTGCCTGTCCTTCTGGAAGGATGTCCCTCTTTCCCTGCCTGCCAATCCCCTGACCTCTCTTGATGTCCTCCCTACCCTTTCTCCCCTGCTCCCGTCCCCTGAATGTCAGTCTTTTCTCATTCTATGGCTTCAGTTATCACTTTGAAACACTCATTTCTAGCACTGCTGCTTCCCTGAGCTCCATACTGCATTTCCAATGGTCTGGAAGATAACTCCTAGAAGTCTGAAGTCCAAACTCAAGCTCCAGCTACCCTCCTTTTTTATTTATTTATTTGCAGGACTGAGGCTTCAACCCAGGATGGCCTACCACTGAACTACATCCACAGCTCTTTCATTTTGAGGATAAGGTCTCACTAAATTGCCCAGGTTGGCTTCAAACTTGCAATCTTCTTGCATTAGCCTCCCAAGAATTACAGGCATATGCCACTCACTATACCTGGCAAATATCATATTTTATTATTTATTTATTTAATATTTTTAGTTTTAGATGGACACAATATCTTTATTTTAATGTGGTGCTGAGAATTGAACCAGGTGTCTCATACATGCTAGGCCAGTGCTCTATTACTGGCTACAACCCCAGCCCAAATATCACACTTTAAAAAATAACAATAAAATAATCAGCATTCATAAAGCTCGGGGTCTTCACTATAGACCCAGGAAGTAAGTATTTTTGCTCCTTTTTTCTTCTTTTTTTGCTACTGGGATTGAACCCAAGAATGTTTTAACCAGTAAACTACACTGCCAGTCCTTTTTAAATTTTTGTAAATTTTGAGACATGGTCTCACTAAGTTGTTAAGTGGCTGAGGCTGTCCTTGAACTTGTGATCCTCCTGCCTCAGCCTCCCGAGTTGCTGGGATTACAGGCTGTAACATCACCCCCCCACCCCATCCCCCACCCCCGCTTTCCCTGTTCTAATGATGACAATATCATCCTTCCAGTCAGCCAAGTTTAACACTCATCGGTCCAGGCCAATTGATCCAAGTTCTTTATCTTGCCTTTCATCCTCTGCTTACCCTTTGGCCAATCCACTGCCACCAGCCTGATTCCAGCCCTTATTTTACCCAAATCACCACAATACACTCCAACTGATCTTAGCAAATTGGGACTCTATTCCTTCCGTCCATCCTGCATAGACCCACACATTTAAGCTAAATAAACCACAGCTCTGAGATTGTCACTTCCAGATTTAAATCTCTGGCTTTCCAGACCCAGCAGCATTTCATCCTAATTCCCTAAGAGCCTCCCCAACTTATTTTATACCCCCTCCTCTGTCTACCCTGCAAGCTCTGTCCCAGTGCAAGTGGCCCAGTCACCAGTTCTCATGGGTCCCCGTGTGTCCAGCTCTATGTCTTTGCTTGTGGATTTTCTTTCCCAGACAGTTAAATTAGTACACCTCCTTCTGCAAGATTTGAACCAGTCTACTCAGAGGCCCCACAAACAGCTGTCTTCTCTATAGCATTTGCCCTGTGCAGTGCTGTCTTAAGACACACCTTCCCCTCCCCATGCATCTTAAGGATGGGGATCACATCTCAACCATTCTCTGATGCCCCACAAGCGGTATTCATTTTACATTTTACAAACATTTGTCAAGTCTTCAAATGTCTGTAAAATGTAAAATGAATAAACCAAGAGAGCACAGCTGTGACAAAGAGTTTCTAAATGCATGGGCAAGTGAGCCCAGAACCCCTTCTGGGTTAGAGAAGGGCTTGGAGCAAGTGTTACTAAGGGGAGGCTGCTGAACTCTGCCATTCTCACTGGACTCCAATTCTATCCAGCTTTCCTTGCCTCCATATAATTAATAGTAGTGCTTTCAGGTCCTGCTTTATACCAGGAACCACCACCAATGTCACCTTGTCCATCAGGGCTTTTAGTAGGTCACATTACTACTCTCCAGCATGCATCACATTCCCCACCCGGGAGTGGAGACAAAGGCCAAGGAGAAGAGCCACAGAGGACCAATTACTAAAGGCCACTTACTCAGTCATGCCCGACCCTAATCAGATTTCTGTCCTGCCAGCTTATTGACCTTTCCTATAAGCATTCTTCTGCACAATGTGCTGCAGTGCTTTCCAGACTTTTGGGAGAGTAACCTCTACAGCATGGCATTCAAGAATCCTCAGGACTGGGCCCTGCCTACCTGTGTGGCCTCCCCTCCTGACCTCACACCATCGATTCCGACCTCACTAGATTATTTCTGGTCCACTGAACAGTGGTCTCTGGTGCCTCCAGGCCTCAGGGCATGTGGTGCCTTTGCCCACTTGTCACTCTTCCCTTTACCTGGACAATTCCTGCTCATTCTCAAGGGGCAGCTCCTCTGTGTGGCCTTTCCAGACCCCCCACGAACACCTACAACACGTCTATATCCCTTGTATTCTCAATACAGCACAAGGCTCTTTTGTCAGACTTAGTATCTGATAAGCAAATAAGTTTTTTTTTTGTTTGTTTCTTGCAATGCCAATCGAACCTAGGGCCTTGCACAAGCTAGAAGAGTTCTCTACCACTGAGCTACAAGCCTGCTCCACAAATTTGTTTTTGAAAGAAATCTCATAGTCAATCAATAGCATAGGATCTTGAAAATATTACTACTAATAATTATTCTCATTTAATCCTCACTATTTCACCACGTGATAGGTTTTATTATTATTCATATTTTAAGAGAAGGAAAATTATTATTCATATTTTAAGAGAACCCAGACTCGATTAGAAATTTTTTCTTTCTTTGCGGGTATGTACTGGATTGAACCCAGGGGAATCTCTACCACTGAGCCACATCCCCAGCCCTATTCTGTATTTTATTTAGAGACAGGGTCTTACTGAGTTACTTAGCGGCTCGTCATTGGTAATGCTGGCTTTGAACTCATGATTCTCCTGTCTCAGCCTCCCAAGTCATTGGGATTACAGGTGAATGCCACCCCACCTAGCCCTTTTTAAATTTTGACACAAGGTCTTGCTAAATTGCCAAGGCTGGCCTTGAACTTGCAATCCTGTGCCTTGGCCTCCTGAGTGGTTAGGATTACAGGCGTCACCCACGCCCAGCTTCATTAGAATTTTTTAATGTCTAATCTATCCATACAAAATTTCTTGGAGGTTGGGTAGGGAAGGTGTCATTACCCCCACTTAACAGATGACGGATGTGATAAACAGGTGAAGCACCTAGGACACCCAAGAAGAAATGATGAAGCCGACCGACGCCTGGAGGCCATGCATCTGGCTTAGTCCTCTAATGTTCAACTTGTTTAACTAGTTCTAACTCCTTCTGCCTCTAAAGAATTCCAGCAGGAAGGAGTCACTATGAATCTAATAGCATCCAATTGATCCATGCAAGGATGATGCTCGGGCTGATGATTGTTTGACATCTTCTCACGCTTTGCCATGGAAGGGTTACTTAGTTGTGAACTGTCAAGGCCTGGTGAAATTCAGAGTCCACATTAAAGGACAAGAGGAAAGAGGGGGTCTTAAGAATCTAGGTCTTTGAAGACCAATCCCAACACTTGTCAAATTGACCTTTGTGTGGTTTCTAAAATTTCATAAGCATGAAGTGATCTTTGAGTAGTTCATCTTACTGAAGCAGGTCAGATGTGCATCTGACAAGCTTTCAAAAGGCTATCAATGATTTCTTAGTCACCAAGTTAAATGACCTTTTCTGAACCTGGCACGATCAGCTGCCTACGTACAATTAGACAACGCTGTCCAACTCCCTCCATCTCTTGATATGCATCCTGTCGGTTGCCTATCTTTCTGACCATGACTCCTTTCAGGTGATAAGACCCACAACTGGGGAGGTGGCAGTAAAAAGTGGAAAGGAAAGAAAAGATAGGAGAGACGTTTCAAAATAAGGCACAGCAGTATTTGGAGATCAAATTTTTCTTTTAGTCACTCTTGTAGCATTTCAGAACACTGCTTTATACCAAAGGTATTTGTGTACATACCATCTTTGCTCCTTGGGGCAGGAACAAGATTTTTGGTTTTTTTCCTCTGCAGTTCTGGGGATCAAGCCCAGGTACTTGCACAAGCTAAGCAAGCACTCTAGCACTGAGCTACATCCCCAACCCAGGGAACAGATTTTAAGTATCCAAAAGAGTTTTGTAACAGTATCAAGCCTTAGAAGATATTTGATAGATATGTCAAATAGTTAAAGAATGATTTTGAGATCTCAATCTTAAACTCAGACTATAAAAAAAATTATCACCTGCCTTTAAAAGCCTACATTGAGTCAAGGGAACTGTTCCCTTAATAATGTATCCAGGCCCATTCTGGGCATCCTGCAGATAACAGAGACAAGTGCTGGTACAGGTTGAATTCATAATCCTCAACAACAGCAGCTGTCATTTCAGGAAAGATGTCATAGTAAAGATGAAGGTAAGAAGGCCTTGTATTGAGGGTATAAACTGGGAGTGACCAGGAAAATAAAAACCCACAATACAATCTGGAATTCTGTAATGGGGGCTGACTTCCTCCAAAACAGAGACCTCGTTTCAATGAATAAGCACGTTGAAGGACAATAACCAGAATGAATCACAAGTTTACTGTCTGACAGGATCTAGTGGGGAGAGAAGGGACCTATGTTATTATAGCTATCAAAACTGAATGGTCAGTGTTCTAGGCCAAGGCAGAAAATATTGGGCATTTCCTCACTGACATCAAGAAGAATCACAGAGGTTCTCAGCTTAGCAGGAAATGGATAGCAATGCGATCCACATACAGGGTTTGGAGGGGGAAGATCAGATGCTGCCCCGGACAGGCTTAATTCTAACCTAACCATGACTTGCTCCACTACCTTAGACCAGAAGTTTCCTTGCTTTGTGTTTCATTTTCTCTTATGCAAGTGGGAGTACTGAGGTACAAAGGAAGCATCTGTAGAACGCTTGGAAAGGGAATCTTTAGAGCCAAGTACGATGTGACCACTAAAGTGGGAATTACCCTCCTAATAGTTTTGCAGCTACTAAAGCATCAATGCAACCAAGACACATGAGCAGTTAACAAAGAGGGAAAATGTGCTCTAAATAATTGTTGAAAATAAATGAAAGGAAAACTGCTCACCTGATCCCTGCCCAATGACATATATGGTCTCTCCGCATCCCTCGTCCATCCTCTCCCACATCTGCCGAAGTAGGCTGTCATACTGCTCTGATGTAGGGCTCACTAGAACCAGCTAGAAGAGAAACCAACAGCCTTAGGACCACACTTGCTAGAGAGCACCACAACCAAAGCCAATCGACAAACAGCCTAACCAAAGACCCTGACTGAACCCCACAGTATCCTAATCGAAAATAGCTACACACTCCCCACATGCCCTGTCTCCTCGGATAGCATTATATGACCCAGATGATGTACTACAATGACTCTGAGCCACAGCTCGGAATCATCAGAAACTGTACAGAGGGCATGGCACCTGCCTCCTGCTGCTCCCCAGGAGTGGCAGGACCCAACCGAGAGTTGGGTCCCTTAATAATGTATCCAGGCCCATCCTGGATACAGTGCTCTACACCTAGATGCCAGCCTCCTACCTGCAGTTTGCATCCGGAAATCAAGGACAGAGATCTCATACTGCCATGCCCTCCACCCAGAGGCCAATGACTCCCAAAATGGCAAAATAATTCTGTCCACCTTGTCGTATCTTAGATATCTTGATTATTTGGGAAACAACAGTGAAAATTGCTTACAATACTCATTTTCATCAACAGAACACCCCCAACACTAAGGTGAGTATCAGCACCACCACTGTGCAAATTTCTGTCAGTAACATTAAAGTATCAACTCTTATTTGGGGACACCATTCATCAATAGACATGTCAGACTTCATTCTGAAACCATTCCTGTGTGACCTTGGACAAAGGATTTAACCTCTCTGAATCTCAGTTTTTTCAATCTGTAAAATAGAAATAATACTACCTTGTATCTTAAGACCACTGTAAAGTCCAAATATAATAACATGTAAAGCATCTAGTTCACAGCTCAATAAATGGTCATAACAAAGTTTTCTCCACTTGGTCATTTCTAAAAAAAAAAAAAAACTTGCAGGAAACTCAGCCACCACTCTTCACTAATTGTTTCTCCCTTTGTAAACTCTTAGAGCCTTAAATCTTCATAGTCAATTGTAGTAATGAAATAGATGTCTAGTGTCATCTTTTCAGGACTCAAATCTATTCAACCCAACCCTTTTCTCCTCCACATTGTGTTTTTTTCTTTTCAATATCATCAATATTTACATACATATAGCTTTTCAACTTCAAAATCATGAGACTTTCCCCAGCTACTTCAGTAATGAAGTGACACTTCCCTAACCATGAACTTTAAATAAGCTGGTCAGGAAATAAGGTAATATCTTCTTGGCAACTTCCTACTGTGTTTTTAGGTTTCTTCAGCATCTTGACTGTCTAATGACACCCAACTTGTCCAACTTTGAGTCAGGTGCCTATCTTACAACTTCCTGAGTTGACTCATCAGAGGTTGTATTCGTAACCTGAATGGTACCTGGGTCACACTGCCTGATACATTCTCTCTATCTCTCCCAGAGCTTGGCCACCCTCATTATGGCATTAGAGATACCATAGGGGACTACTGTAACAAACAAAAACTAGCTGGTTTCCAAGTGCTCAACTGAGACTAGGAGAAGAAGGAACAGTTGAAAAAATTGCTTCTTTGGGCTGAAGGGAAAGTTCTCTCTAGTTTAGGGCCAAGTTTCAAGCACTTTTGTCACTGTAAGCTATGCCAAAGTCACAAACATTTTCAAAGATTGATAAAAATCTCTACTGTAACTATCCTACAACCAGTAGGAAGTGTGTTGGTGTTCTATCTTCCATCAGCTGCTATTTAAGCTGCACAGGGAATTATGGGACACAATCACTGAGTCTCTAGTATGGATCCAACACTATACTAGACATCTTAACATACACTTTAAATTTTTGCAATGTATCCGTACTTTCTTAAGATGAGGTAGCCACAACACGGAGAGGTTAAGAAATTCTCCCAAGGTCACAGGGCCTTTCCAATGGCAGAGCAGGAAAGGGAAGCCAGCCCCGTTTGATTCCCAAGTTGGCATTCTTTTAGCGATGCTAAGCACCTTAGAAACAACAGTCACATCTAACACTTTATTTTCCACAATGCTAAGCAGATGGTGAGCCCTTAATTCCTGCCTATCTTCTCAACAACTCAGAAAACACTATTTAAAACGCCCTCCATTATTCCACTCATACAAGATGAGGATCCACTCCCAGATGGCGAGATTCTGGGTCATGCCCATCTTTCCATTTTGTTTTGGGTGGACTCGAAAGTGGATATTCCTCTCCCTGCCTGAGCGGCTACTTTCTGTTTCCTCCACCGAGACCAGGAAAGGAGCGAGACCAGGAAGGGAGCGGGGGCCACCCCTGTCTCCCCTCGGGCTACCTGTCTGCGCACCCCGCCCCCTGCCAGAGCCACCTGGACCCTCAGTGTCCTGGACGTTCCGGGGAGGGGGCCACCCTGGGTTCGGGGTCCCCTCACAGGTGCAAGAAGAGGGGTTGGCGGCGCCGCACGGGGACCCGCGTCGCGCAGAGCGCTTCAGGCGTCGGGGCATCGGGGCACCGCGTTCCACGTGGCGGAGCCGCGGGCTGCGATCTCGGCGGGAGCCCCGAGCGCGGGAGGCCAGGTCCGCGCAGCCGGGGAACCGAGGCGGCTTCCAGGGACCGGGAATGGCCCCGGCCCGCGCACGTCCCGGGGACCGGCAGGTGGCGGGTTCCGGCCCCTCCCCGCGTCCCTGCCGCCCCGCGACTGGACGGCCGGCTGCCCGTCGTCGCCTCGGAGACGGCTCGGCCCTCCAGGGTCCCCTCAGCGCCCGCCGCCGCCGCCCGGGCCTACCTTGCTGGTGAGGTCCAGCTCCGGCTCACCGTTGAGCGCCTCGCCGTCCTCGCTGCAGTCCGACTCGAAGCCGCTGTGGAGGCGGGCGGCGGCCGCCGCGGCCCTGACCGCCCCCGGGGAGCTGGGCTCCGGGGCAAACATAGAGGCCGGCACCGGCGAGTCCATCGGGGAGCGACTCCGCTCCGCCGCCATCTTTAATAACTTAGGCTAATTCGCAGCCGGCTGCCCTCCCTCCCCGGCTCATTTGACTAATCTATGCGTGGCCCCGCCCCCACCTTATCGGAATAATTTATGCGAAGCCTCTCCCGCGCGCAGAGAGTGACACGTATCTCTAGCTAAGACACAATCGACCAGGCCTCGCAGCCACCAATCGCTGCAGCCCTTTCAAGTACCTAATGAATAATTAATGAGACCAAAACCCCAACAACAAATGTCTGGGACGTCAGGCGCCCGGGAGGGAACAGCACGGTGTCCACACTACCTGCCTGGAGCCTTCCCGCCAACAGAAGCAGTACAGGGTATGACTGATTCCGCAGCCAACCAATGAGGAGAGAAATTCAAAGAGCATTTCCCGCGCACCGCCCCTTCACTCCTGCTTTCCAGAGGCGGGGCTCAGCTCCCAAATCTTACTGCAAAACAGTCGCCGCAAAGAGTTTTCCAGTGATAGACAGGGACCAGACCCAATCCAGTCCTCCGTAGGTCCCGCGCCTCCGGCTGCCTCTCACAGATAGTAAACTGCAAAACGAGCCTCCCACTCTATCCAGTGACTGAGGCGGTCGCTGGAACGCGGAGTCTGACGTGCTGGCATGCTCCAGGCAATTTAATAGTAGAATCGATGCCGTATATCCCAAGAGTTGTAATGCTATAGTAGCCGGAGTAAGGCAATTAATTCAACGCTGACCTTGCTGGGCACCGCGGCGTTCGCTTATCATTTCAGCGATTCGGGAGACGGAAGCAGGTTCGAGGCCAGCCTCAGCAATTTAGCGGGACCCTGTCTCAAAACAAAGATGGGGGGGGGGGAAGTCCTGGGATTTGGCCCAGCTGTTGAGCGCCTGTAGGTTCAATTCCTAGTACCACCCAAAGGGCGGGGTGCGCGGGGTGGGGGGGAGGACACGCAGACCTTCAGGAAAATTCTGCATTCACTGCCTCTGCGTAGAGAGCAGTTTACACGAACCAAAAGGGAAGCAGAAAAATATAGTTAAAACACCTCCCACTTTTCATTTCTGGTGAATAATTATGTCAAGATTTAAGGTCTGTTAAAGCAAATTGCAAGTTCGAGGCCAGCCTTGGCAATTAATTTAAGGAGCCCCTGTCTCATTAAAAAATAAATAAATAAAAAAGGACTGGGGATGCAATTTAGTGGCAGAGCGTCCCTGGGTTCAATCCCCAGTACCACTGAAATAAATAAATAAAACGCTGACCTTAGGGAGAATTTTCCATTCATTGCCTCTGCTGAGAGGGCAACTATACAAACAAAAACAAAGGCCAGTAGCGAAAAGATAAGCCAAAAAGCATGGGAGCCCGCGCGCGCGCGCGCGCGCGCGCGCACACACACACACACACACTCTCTCTCTCTCTCTCTCTCTCTCTCTCTCTCTCTCTCTCTCTTTTCTGGTGAACAGCTATGCCAAAATCTAGGGTCTGTTAAGGTAGTTTCCTTCAGATTTTTTTTTCCTACTGTCATCAGCTGTGGAAAGCCCCAATCCAAAATGTCATCCAAAATGCACCAATTTTAATGTCTTAAGTTTCCATTTCAAACATCAGAAAAACCTTAGAATTTTACTGGTAGGTGAAAAGAAGGATTAACCCAAGACCTAATGCTGGCTGGCCTTGGCCACTCATCCTAAGCAGTAGGTGAGAAAGGACAATCATTTGAGAAGTTACTCCAGTTTTAGGGTTTGAATTGCAAGATTTAATGAGCAACAGACAGGGTTAAATACATAACTGAGCATAGTGTGCTGGTGCAAGCCTGTAATCCCAGAGGCTGGGGTTGAGACAGGAGGATCACAAGTTCAAAGCYGGCCGTAGCAAAGGCAAGGCACTAAGCAACTTGGTGAGCCCTTGTCTCTAAAACAAAATAGGACTGGGGATGTGACTCAATGGTCAAGTGCCCCTTAGTTTAATCCCTGGTACCAAAAAAAAAAAAAAAAAAAAAAAAAAGGCCTTGTTAGCCTTTTAGTCGCAGGGATCTATCTACCTGAAAGAGTCTCATCTTGTTTCTGTTTTAAAGTAGGAAAGTAGGTATCATCAAGTCTTGTTTGTACAAACACAGCTGGGCAGCTGGGAATCTGGAACAAGAAGTCATTAAACTTCAATGGTCGTGATAATAGTTCCTTTGATATGTTTTTTTTCTTCTTCCTGGCCAAATTGTTCACCAGCATCTTACAACCCTATCTGGTCCCAAAATACTAAAATCTTAGTTAGCAAAGCGAAATACTGTCAGGCATGGTGGTGAATGCCTGTATTCCCAGTGATTCAGGAGGTGAGGCAGAAGTATCCCAAGTTTGAGGCTAGCCTGGGTAATTTAAGTTTGACCCTGTGTCAAATTAAAAAATAAAAAGCATTGGTAGTATAGCTCAGTGGCCAATCCCAGCACCACAAGACATACAAAAACTGAATATTAAGACACTATATTCTACAATAATTTGTGCCTATGTTAAATGGCACAATTATTCAGTCTTCATTGCAATTCCTGTTATGAATTTTCTAAATCATTGGCRTCTCCCAAGTGATTGATGCTTTTTTTCTTTATCATACTGAGGATTGGACACAGGTGCACTTAATCACTGAGCCACAACCCCAGCCCTCTTTATTTTTGAGTTATGGTCTCAATAAATTGCCAAGACTGGCCTCAAACTTGCAATCCTCCTGCCTCAGCTTCCTGAGTCTCTGGGATTATAGGTGTGCACCACAGCAACTGGCAGTGACCAATGTTTTCTTGTATACTAGTAAATCAACTGACAGAGACTGGTTACAGAAAGACAAAAATCAAGGGTTGAGAATTTTACTGGGGATCAAAGAAGAACTGAAGTTTAAGTTGATCATTAATGGCGAATTATTTAATCAAGTCTATATGATTAAGTTTCCATGAAACCAGAAAAGGACCAAGTCTGGGGGTCTTCCAGAGACATGAATGTCTCTGAAGGCTTGTACATGCCCTCTGCATGGCAGCTCCATGCCCTTCACACACACCTTGGTGCAAGTCTCTTCCATCTAGCTGTTCATCTACATCCTCTGCAGTATCCTCTATAATAAACTGTCAAACTTAAAGAGTTTGCCAGAGTTCTCTGAGCTGCTCTAGCAGATTAATCAAACCAAAGAGGGACTCATGGGAACCCTGATTAATAGAGTTGGTCTGCCAAAGTTCCAGAGGTCCAGACTTGCATCCAGCATCTGAAAATGAGAGGTAGTCTTGTAGAACCCCGCCCTTAACCTGTGGATCTGATGCTCTCCCTAGGTAGTCAGAGTCCAACTGAATTGCCAGGTACAGTGGCACATGCCCATAATCCCAGTGACTCAGGAGGCTGGGGCAGGAGGATGGAGGATTCAAAGCCAACTTTAGAAACTTGGCAAGGCTCTAAGCAACTGAGCAAGACACTGTCTCTAAATAAAAATAAAAATAAGGGCTGAGAATGTGGCTCAGAAGTTAAATGCCTGGGGGTTCAATCTCCAATACAAAAAAAAAAAGAAAGAAAATCCAACTGAATTAAAGGATATTCACCTGGTGTCTACTGCAGAACTGATTGGTTTCTTGGCAGGGGGTGCAGGGGGGTGTGCTCCACATTTTGGTGACCAGAAGTGCTGTGTTGTATTAACTCCATTGCTCAGACCAACATTTAACATCTTAACAATTGGGTCTTCAGAAAGAGTTCACGTTTGAAATGTGCTGACACCTGATAGCAGACTAAAAAGTATGCTTTTCCCACTATATGATAGCAGACTAAAAAGTATGCTTTTCCCACTATAGGACTTTGCCTAGAAAAGATACTCTCAGAGCAGATGCTTCATGAATTGAATGGGAAAGTCTAAAGTAACATTTTAGAGGGAATTCCCTACCCATCTTTTATCCTCTTTCTGAAGACAGGTTAGCCTCCGTTCAAAYCCTGAATCCAAGACAGACTTAGGTGACTTCCAGTACTTAATTAACTTCTTTGTGAGGCAGTTTTCTCCTAAGTCAGAGGGATCTAATAGGATAATTGGCAGTAAATATGTTAATATACGTAAAGCACTTAGGACAGTGCCTTGCACAACAAGCCTTTTAAGTACACCATTATCCCGTAGGCCGCTTTCAAACGACAAAAGTTTAAGATAACTTAAAAGTAGTCTGAATAGAGGACCACACTCAAAATCTTGAGTCGAATTGAAGCATGGTCAAAAAACAAAACAAAACAAAACAAACAAACCAAAAAAAAAAAAAACAAAAAACAAAAAAAACCTGAATTCGAGGTGTGACTTATTTTTTATTGTTTTACCCATTTTCTTAACAAAAAATTCAAAAGGCGAGCAGCCAAGGTGGATAACGACGCCTTTCACAGCCCCAGGAGTAAAGGGAGGAAAAGCTAAGCCCACTTGGGTCTGCAAGTAGTTTGCTTCTGACACACACAATCGCTCAGCTGGACCCTGAGAAAGCACCAAAGAGCCCGTGGACACCGTTAGTGTGGAGAGAACCGAAATACGACACCACGGAGCTGGAAGAGGATCCCACTTTTCACTTGAAATGTGACCCCCGGTGAGGCGCACACCCTCGGTGCTCCTGGTAAGCTCGAGGCGGTCGGGCTCTCTAACCAAGAGATTTGCGCGAGACCGCCTCCGTAAGGTGTGTTAAAACCACCTGGTGAAAGGCGCACTAGGCAAACAAACAAACAACAAAAAAAAAAAACGGTCAGCGCAGGAATCGCAGTCCAGGTTCGAGAAAGCACTTTGCCCAGAGACAGGAGCGGTGGGCAGGGCCGCACGCAGCGGCTGGCTGGGTCGCCGCCCCGGAACCGTGGCGCCGCGGCCGCCTGAGGGAGGAACGGGCGTCGAGGTGGGACTCCCCGCCTGGAGCGGGGCCGCCGAAGCCAGACACATCCAGTGCCCTGCATTCCCGCACCCGGCGACACGCGAGCCTCGCAAATCCCCAGACAGCTCCGCGCGGCCGGACTCTCGCCAAGGCGCGGCGGCCGCGGCTCCACAGCTGGCGCCGCTGACGT